AGCTGAAGAAAGTCAACCTGCCAAAGACAATGATGGTGCACTTCTATACAGCGATCATTGAATCCATCCTCACCTCCTCCATAACCGTCTGGTACGCTGCTGCCACTGCCAAGGACAGAGCAGACTGCAGCGTATCATCCACACTGCTGAGAAGGTGATTGCCTGCAATCTACCATCCCTCGAGGACCTGCACACCTCGAGGACCATGAGGCGAGCAAGGAAGATTGTGGCCGATTCCTCCCACCCTGGACACTCTCTGTTCCAGCTACTCCCCTCCGGCAGAAGGCTGCGGTCCATCAGGACCAAAACCTCACGCCACAAAAACAGTTTCTTCCCATCTGCTGCTGGCCTCTTCAACAAGGCCAAGGGCTTACACTGACTTTAACATTTTATCTACAAAATCACACCTTGCCATATTTACACTATGTTACCCTATTTGTATTTTTTTATTTTTAGATTGCATCTTATAGCTACTTTATTTTCAATATTTATTCAAAATTGTACATACTTTAGCCCCTTAGTGTTAGTTAGACTTTGTACCTTTAGTATAGTTAGACTTGTATACCACTTATTTTAGATTTAAGATTACTATATGTTGAATGTATGCACCTTCCTGCCAAAGTAAATTCCTTGTCTGTGCGAACTTTCATGGCAAATAAAACCCTTTCTGATTCTGATATAACTTACAGATACAAAGAAAAATGTGTGCCTCGGACCTTGAAAGGCTTTTTTTTCCAACAGTGGCTCAATACATCCTTGTTTTCTGTTTTATCCCACGGACATGCCTTGCTAGAGCCCTCCATTCACAATAAATATATTTTTTATATGTATTTTTACTTGGCCCATAATACAAAGAACGTATTCAAAACGTACGTTTAAAAAGTACAGGCGTTAGCTTGCTGTATGTTTCCTCGCATGACCTTGCATTGCAAGGGCATTTTCGCAAAGTGCTACACAGCCCAGAGCGTACGAATTCAAATTCATTGCTGACTGCGTCCCATACAGAAAAAGTTAAATCAGCCCTGAAACATTGTGTTCATTTTGGTAAAATGCATTTCTGAACTTTACTCAGATTTATATAATCGTGACCTTTTGAATACACTGTGGTTAAATTGTGTGCAAGTTAAACATGAGCGCGTGGCTCAGGCGTAATGCCCATGTCACAGCACAGGGACAAACGATTTTGAATTATTTTTCCTGGTTCAAGTGCTTAGATGACCACTTGAAGTGATCCCATCTTCATAAGTGACTTGTTTGATTGTTTTCAGGACTGTCAGTAATTGCCGAACAAAAAATACCATCAAATAATCACAGTCATGTATTTACAGCTCATCCCTTTTACCCCAGTTCTGATCTATTTGGATGAATATTTCTATAAACACATTAAACAAAATGAAAATCTTTCAGGGAGCCGTGCTTGTGGATGTGGTAAGAGAGGCCTAGCTAAAAAAAGTGGAAACTGCTGGGATCATTCCCAAGAGTGGCCCCAGTCATGTTCTGTGGTCTCGTGAAGGTGTGTAATGAGGATTTCTGCACTCTTTCGTGTTTGTGCTGATATCTTTATGAATGTACATCTGTACTATCAATAAAAGAGCAACGTTGGCACGATTTGCTTATTGCATTAGAGTTTTATTGGCCAAACCCATGAACAATCTCTTAGTATGGTGTTCCTTATTTTTCAGTTTATAAGTATTGTTTAAAAAAACAATAATTGCGTGAATGTTCTTAGTGGAAAGTTAGGGATAGAGTGGATTAGTGAGGAGGTGGGTGGACGCATCATCATCATTATTATGTTTTTGTGGTGCAAATGTCCAAACCCGCCAAAGGCGATGGTGTTTTTTTACAGCGAGCTGGCGGTATTACGCGCGAGGTTTTACACGCGAGGTTTTACACGCGAGCACAGCACGCGGGTCGCCGTGAGCCACGGGTCGTAGTCGGGAGTCGATTTGTGTCTGTAGAAGCTGGTACGCCGCCGATCGGCGAGATTGGACGGAGCTGATCGATGGGAGACTCTTGAAGACGAGCAGGCACGTTGGGCTCATTTTGTACAATTTGTCGGGGCGAGTTGCCTCTTGATTTTGCCTATGGCCAGCGCAGTTTCGGGCGTCTCCGGCCCAAAGAGCTGGAACACGCTACCGGCTCACGTGCGGGTCCATCCCCGCGAGCCTGAGCCAGTTCTGCAATAGATTCTCAATGCTCCGTGGTTAACTTCTTCTTTAAACCTTGATACCGTGTCCAATTACATCCATCGGTTAAGGAAATAATCTGGCACGCCCGTGAAAGGGAAATGAACACGTTCGAGTGGACGACCGTATTACTATTTTATCGTTCCGTGCAGCGTGACCACATCCATTTGCATTGCCCTCCCTGGGGCTGTACTCCCAGGGGGGGGGGGGGGGGGGCATTTGTGCATAGAAAATAAAACGGTGGAAGTGGCCAGTGGATGAACCCAGAGAGTGCACTCGTCCGTGCACTCGCCATCACCCCGAAGGTGATGGACCTCGTGGGGTTCTCGGAATCTAACCAGAGTTGAAGCTGGAAGAGCTTACTTACGTGGGAGGCTGATTGGGAGTAGGTATTGAAGGTGTAGCCGGCGCCTGGCTCTGTCTCTCTCTCTCAATCCAGCCGTGAGAGCAACAGGCCGGATAAAAAAAAACACTTTTGAAAATGTGGCAGATGGTATGGTGGCAAGAGGGGGCTGCAATACGATAAAAATCTGACTGAAGTAAAAACGGCGCTTAAGCCAGTCAAAGAAAGGGATGAAAGGGGGCATGCCATCGTTGGCATTGATTACATGTTATTGATTCTGCTAAATGATTTTGCCGGCAGAAAGTGCAAAATGTTACTGCTAAGTTTTACAAAAACTGAAAATTATTCATTACAATCTGCCCACGACGCCGCCTCTCGCCGCTCCACGCTCTTGCTCTTAAAGAGTGTTAGCAGCGACCGACATCAAAAACACTATCTTAATTTTTTTTAAAACCCCTTTACTTTTGCTCCATTGACCGCGGGTTTTAAGTTGAAATGAAAGATGGTGGGCCCAAGAAGCGGGCGAATTGACAGGGCACAATCGTTGTTTTGGGGGCAGAATATTCTTTATGGATCACAATTAGCGATCCAAAACACCTTAAACATGCCCCCTTTGATGCTATAACACCATATACGGCCAAAGACACGCACACTTCCAAGAGCCCGCTTTCATTTCATGTCAGCTTTTATCGTATTCCAGCGCCACGGTGGCTAGGAGATGTTAACTACCTCGCCTGGTGTACAGAAGGTCGTGGGTTCGATCCCAACCCTTACACCTGCTTATATTTGGAGTTTGCGTGTCTCTTTCATCATCATCACGGTGGCTCGGAGATGTTAACTACTTCGCCTGGTGTACAGGAGGTCGTGGGTTCGATCCCAACCCTGACGCCTGCTGCTATATATTTGGAGTGTGTGCGAGTCTCTCTCCCCCCGTGGTCGCGTGAATTTTTCCTCCGGGTCCTCCGGTTTTCCCCTCCACATTTAGCATCGACATCACGCGTTTAGATTTTTTGGCTGCTCTAAATTTCCACGCGATGAGCCCACTTCGTTGGAGCCGTCATTTGCGGTGGCCAGGTCGCCTCTGAAAGAGAGCTACGTAGCTCAGTGGGGCCTTACCTGGCAAAGCAAAAAGAGTAAATGATGGAAGCCCTGTACATTGCGTTCTAGCTCCACCGCAACTTTCTAAGAGCCCTGTTAGGGCCACAAAAAAGCAGCAGCACACGTGTGGTTCTGGTAACGGCTTTACTTTATTTTTTAAAAGGTCCTCTGGGAACGCACTTAAGCGATCGACTTTGACCACGATGGGGGGTGGGGGGGGGGGTCTCCTCTCGCGGTGTCACGGACCTCACATGGACGATGTCAGCACGTCCAAAAGATTTTTCCCCTTGCGGATGCTGACCTCTTCACGGGTTGTTGAGACCCCTCGTTGTTAGCAGGAAAACAATGTTTTCCGCACTTCGTATCCTCGTGAAGGATTATCATCATCGGGTGTTTTCCATGACCGGGGGCACGCGTGGTGACCCAGTTCATCGAAATTGATTTGGCGGCTGAACGCGGAGTGAGCACGAGGCGCTTCGGATTTCACGTTCGCCAACCTCCAACTTGTTGAAGGGTGCGATTCCATTCGGTAGCTCAATAATAAGCTGGTCATCCACACGGATTATAAGCAATGTGGGTCTGTTTGGTCCGTGTGCTGTACGTCCAGCTAACAAGTCCACTGGTTGTGTGAAGTCCGGCGCAAGAAAGGATGAGTGGCTTCACTCCCTTCACTTCATTGGTTTCGATTTTCTGACTTACCCTCAGTGGTTGTAGCTGATTGCCGTGTTGTCAGAGCCAAACGGAGTACTTCAGCGTCCGCTTTGCATCGGCACGCGTTTAGAACATTTGCGTGCTATTAATTTCCACGTGACAAGCCACTTCGTTTGTCATTTGTGGCCAGGTCGTTTCTGAACAAGAGCTACAGTATACAGCTCAGTGGGCCTCACCTGGTCAAATAAAAATAGTTTCGAATAGTTTAGTTAACGGGGTGCACTGACCGTTACGCTACACGACCACAGACACAGCACTCGTATTCACTCGCACCCACTCAGTGCTCCACGTGGCTCTAAGCTGTGAGCCATGTGCCGGTCCTGTATGTGTCTGGAGCAAGGGACGCGGACTAAACTACCTCCCGTCCGCTCACAAGCCAATGGCAACCCAGCGGTGTTCACGCCGCTATTTGCACAAAATTCAGTCCCGTCCGTGCCGCAACGACTGAACGCAATTCCTACAGACTCGTTTGGCGAAGGGACGCGATCACATGAACACACCCGCACGCCGTTGCACCTTTTACCGACACTCCACTCCTCCGCCCGCCATCCAATTGTAATATGAATTCTGTGCGTGCCCGCCAGCCAAAGGTGGGGTTGACGCAGAGTGTGCCCGCTGTGGGCGTCTTTTTCTGACGTTAAAAATGTCTCTTTCTGTTGCAGTTTACCCGGGCAGGCGGAACAGGCAAACGTGCGTACGCAAGAGTCTCATCTGCGCGTTCGCCGTGGCGTTCATCATCAGCGTCATGCTCATTGCCGCCAATCAGATCCTGCGCAGCGGCATGCAGTGAGAACCCTGGCTCTCCGTGGGGGGTCGGAGGAAACCACGTGGAGCGGCATCTGTCGGATTCTCTCTGTCTCAAGAGGCCCGCCGAGAAATTCAAGCCGAGGGAGGCGTCATCAGCGGGACCAGTGCAACGTCACCTTAGCTTTCCTAAATGTGTATGATTGGGTAAAGTATTTATTTTTCGATTTATAACAAAACAAAAAAACATGCTCTTGGCGAAAGGCACCGTTGTGGCATACTTAACCTTCATTGGACTCTGTTTTTTTTTGCGTGTGCTCCGAGCAAGGAAGGTTGGCTGCCTTTTGGTGGCGTGGAATATCTCACGCTAACAGCTCTCATTGCCCAAGAGCAGGCGGGATCACTGTCTTGTGTTCCACAGTGGTTTTGTCCACTATAAACAAGACGGGCAGCGGCGTCGCACAGCCGTGTTTATCTGCTGACACAACTGCTGACGCCAAGGACTGCCGTTTGCGTGCAAATTGCACACTTTAATACACCGGGAAAAGAAAACAAAAAAAAAAGAAGACGAACACGTGTGGATTGGATGTGTTACTTACCTAAGGGAGTATGCAATGTTTGTATATAAGAGCGACTAGGCACTTCACACGGCGAGGGTTGCGAATGCAGTTGTGTGCGACCTTTGTCCGGCAGTGCACTGCGTTGACTGCATGTGCACACTGCACTAAGTGCATGCAGCCCACCGGATTCCCGGGCCACCATTGCTTCGAAGCTACGAGGTCTTCATTTCAGGGCCAGAGAGAGTGAGAGGCGTTCAGCCATGCAAGTCATTTCTGCTCCACGGACAGCGGCATTTGCTGGCGGTTCGCTGCGACCAACGCTATTTGCTCCTTATGGCAAAGAACAACCTGCAATAGGACAGCTCCGCAAAAAAAACAACGCAGAGGATTCAGCGTCAGCGTCATTTTCTGTTTTTGTTTTTTTATATTTTTCTTAACGATCGTGAGTTATGCTCATTAAATGAATTATGATTGCTCAACCAAACCCGTCTCTTTGGAGACGCAAGTGTATATTTCTATAAAAGCTGCCCGCATTTCACGTCGACCAACTACAGCAGTTGACCGCGCCTTATCACATCCAACAGCGCGTGCGTTAGAAAAAAAAAATCAGCAGAGCTTTGTTGTTGTTGCTGATGCTGCTGACGACTGAGGCCTTTGGATTCGGCTCGGGAGGGACGGGAGGGACGGGGGGCCGCGTCCACTGACCGCTTAACCGAAACAACGTGGGCCCAATCAGCGGGTGATTGGCTTGTCCCAGCCGCCTGTCATCGCCCTGTTTGCATCGGCTTGATCAAGTACCCTTCCAGCCGCCGACTCTGTGCGTCTCTAAACTTGCAGGAGGCCAAGCTGGCGCGCGAGAAGTGCCGTGTTGGTTGCTTCACATTTTTGGTTGACGAAAGGCAGTCCAGTCAGACCTCATACAGATCCCGCATTTGTAGAACAGCACAACAACAATAAATTGATGTTATTTTTCTCGGCTGTTATGCCGCTGAAATCTAAATGAATCTCACCGGCGTAATAACTAAGCGTAGAAATGTAGTTTATAAAAAATATATATAAATGACGTGTGTTAATAACACACGTGAAGGAGTAATAACACGCAGTACATTTTGCCACTTTTATGAAATACTCGTTGATGCAACCCAGAGATTGTTAAACAGATGTACGCATAAATACCGTAAATTACAAGTTTCTCCACTTCATACGTGATGCTAATTAGAGTTACTTTGCCTTGATCCCAGTTGAAGAAGTAACGCCTCTGAATCTAGATTTTAAGTTTTCGTGACTGCAGGGATCTCATACATACTCTTTGGTTCTTTCGGTAAAGTCACGTGGGTATAAAACAAAATAAATTAAATCACGACGTGGGCACTTCAGAAATTTGTTTATTGCTGTGGTTGTTTCCACATGATGACGGGCACTTGTGTTGTGCCCGAAACGTCGTGATTTAATCGATTTTGTTTTATGCCTACGAGACTTCACCGAAATAACCAAAGAGTAACGTCTCTGAAATTCCCGACGATGTTTTCGCGCGTAAAAGAAACCTGCCACCCCGTCAAGGTCTTTGTCGCATGCCCCTTTGGAAAATGATATGACGAAAAAAATGGTTTGCAAACTAAAAAAAAGAGATGTTGCACAATATTTTGTAGAAAATAATAAGCGTCACCTGTTATATTTTTGATTTGTTACGATGTAATATTATCCCAATTGTTTTTTTTTTGGGGGGGGGGGGGGGGTGGGCAGAAACCATTAGCGGTGTTTATCGGGTTGCTGAAACGTTGAAGAATCCAAAAAAAACGTTGACCTAGTTTGTGAAATAAAGCGAGTGAAGCTGTCAATGACAGATTATGCGTGAAAAAAAACAAGCAAACGCACTTGGAAAGGTTTTATTTTATTTTAATGGAAAAAATGTAACGTGAATCAATTAGTTCGAACAAAAAAAAAGAGACCACAACAATTTGTTTCTCAGTATACCAAGAGCAATATTGCGTTTTGTTCTTTCTCCGGAACAAAATTCAACGTTCTTTTGTTCGATTCATTCCACTGGGAGATCCCCCCTTGGATCGGTCAAACAGAAAACTTACAACGCGTAGAAAATAAAAAAAACTATGAAATGTTTGGATGATATGAATAGATTCTTTTTTAAAGACACACACACACACATTTTATTACATAACTCTTTAAAGAGATGGCGATTTCCCTGGAATGACATTCACGTGAACTGCTGTCCATGGGGTTTTTTTTCTGGGGGGAGGCATTGTCACAAAGCATCAGCAGGAATGTGTTAACTCGATGGTCTCACATTTATTAGAAAAGCTCTGTGTTTAAGTTGAGTTGTAGCCTAGGATTGCACTATAACTTAACGTGACCATTATTATTAATCAGGTTGCCTGCACCTGTATATATTGTATCATATTGACTTAAACAAAAAAAATCCATGCAATAAACATTTTATTTTAATAGCTGCCTGACTTCATAATGATGTAGGGTTAAAAAATGTTTTAAAGATAAAAAAACAGTGCAAATAAGTAATACATCGCACTGTGCGCTCACTCAAAGATGAACTTTGTAGGCTTTGCAAAATATATAGACAGAGAATTCATGCTTTGTAAATTATACATACTGTTTCTGAGCTTTGAAAACACGGTGTGTGGAATATATCCATACAATGTGCATGTATTACCCTATACTCTAGTGTATAGTGTAAATACATGTACATATATACTGCGTGATGTATATACATTTTGTGCTTCGGGGTACACGTACAAAAAAGGGCTTAAAACAGTCAATTGCACCACGTAATAAGTATGTATCAGCAACGTCTCCTACTTGTGCATGTTTGTTCTAAGTTAACCCTTCACAGTATATACGCAGTACGTGTACATAAATCACAGCAGCCATTGTCAAAAAAAACGTGTCCTAATTTGTCTCCACGTTTCCAGGACAGATCTCTTTAGTCGACGCTATGGTACGTGTTTATATATATTTATATGCGCGTGTGTGTGCGCTCAGTGCAATAACACGTGTGTGTGTGTTCCTCCTGCTAATGACGACGACGTAGAGACGCGTGCTGTGTGTGTATTCCCGTGGACCTGTCGTGACAGAGCGATGGACACTTCTCGGTGGTTACAACAGCTGTTGACCCTCTCGTGACATTCCCGACACGACGATCGGATATGCATTCTGTGTTTCCAATATTACGATTGTTATACTCCAGTTAAGACTTTAGCGATGTGTACAATAGCGAGGCTAGCATTATACTTGGGGGGGGGGGGGGGATAACTTTTTTGCGGGCATTCATAATTATATGCACCTAATGCTCACTTTTCCCCCCATGAATATGTTTAAATTAAGCATTTATAATTCACGACTACATTAAATTACGTATACATTCAATCATGATCTCATTCAGTCTTTTCGCACACTGTTGACTCGACACGTGGATCTGCGTAACTCGTTCCGCGTGTGTTTTAGACCATTGCGGCTCATACCTGGTCTCACGTGTTTAAGAAGCCTCGCCAACACAATTCAACGGTGCAGCGAGGGGCACGGGCCCCGCATGCAGGGCAGCGGCGGCTCCTCCGCTCGAGTCGAAACAAAAACACCGACGCGCGAAGATAGAGAGCACGGACCGATTCAGTTTCACAGAAACTGAAAAGGGGGAGACAACCCTGCCGTGGTTTGGTCGGTGTATGATGACGCCCTTCAATCGAGTAAAGCCTCGTGGCTTTTCAGGTTGCGAAGTTTCGACCAATTTTGTTCAAAAAAAAAAATTGGGCACGTGGGAAGAAATCCGGAGTAGCCACGCTGTACGCGGGGAGTTAATCACTCAAAATGCGCCGTGCAGAATCTCTCCATTCCTGGCCACATCACGACCTTAAAGCTTCACGTACAACGTCTGGCATTTCCTCGGCACGTGTTAGCTAACCTGTCGCAATCCTGCCTCGCAACACCTCGAACGAGATTGGCAGCATTCAGGATGTTGACGGTGGTATGAAGGCCAAATTGTGAGCGAGTGGCGTCAGGAGTTTTGAATGTTTGGCGCAAGGCCCTGGGGTTTGGGTGCTGTTGTATTCAGACGCTGACGCAGTAAGCGAGCGTCCACGTGGGAACAGCTTCGGGTTTTCCCGTGAACGGGGCAATGCTTAACCACTGCAAACGACTACGCTGTATCACGTGATTTAGGGTTCGTGCTAACCGTGTCGTCCGTCTGTTTCTTCTAAATATCGTTAAAGTAGTGATTATCGTTATTTTTTTGGCAGATTTTATCGCCTAACAATTTTTCTTCTGAAATAACGAAAGCACAATTATAATGTTTTTTTTTACAAACGGAATAGCTATAACCCGTTAAATTAGTGATTTGACAAATGTTTTCTGGAGTATATGATTGAAGGGCAGTGACGTGACCGCGTAGTTTCATAGTTCACTCAATGGCTTAATGATTTACGTGCAACTGACAGCATACGCACGAGCAGCTTGACAGGCTGCAAAGTCGCAACGTTTAAAATACCCACGGCAGGATGATGATGTTGAGTGACCTACATTTTAAGAACGTTCAAGTAATCGACATATCCACCGGAAGTACAACTAAAAAAGCATCGTAAAAACTATACAATAAAACTGAACGCTATTTTTTTTACACGTGTATCGGAAACTCATATCGTGTTCAGTTTTCATATCGTGGCAATGGATATCGTGTCACGAACAATGATGTTGAGACAACCCCCTGTGAGAGACGCCAGCCCACGGGGGCTGGCCAACAGCTCGCTCTGCCAGTGATTTTTACCCATACGACTGTGGAGGGCAAAATCTCACGAAGTCACGCTTAGGTTTACCCACTCAAATGTAGGAGGCAATTACCCATATCCATTGTTGGTTCTACTCAGAGGGTGTAAACTCCGCATGCCTATGGTGGGGCCGACCTCTCCGTAGGCCGTTGACTGTTAACGTTCCATAAAGTGGTACCTATTCGAATTCCCCAAAAATGCTATTACACAGTGTTATCTGTCACGTTTACTTTGTGGGATTTTCTTCATCAGTTCAACTCGGATTTGTCTTCAGGACGACCCATTTGAACTATGCGTACGGTGCAAAAGAAGTTCAACATACATTACATCCCAGTAACATTCGCTCATGGCCTCATTTGAAAGTTGGGGGGAGGTGGGATTGGGCCTTTCTCCCTTTAAGACTTTTGTAATCCTTCATAATGTCTGCCCATACTTTTATTTGAATTGTAAGAAACTCTCATTCAGATTCATCAATTGCGTGTGGGGATACGTATTTAAATACGGATGGAAATATTTACATACCTTGCAATTGCATCGACCACATAGATATAGGTGGAGGCGCTATAATGGCACGCTCTGATTGCTCACGGACTCACACTTTGCTGCCCAGCATCTTGGCCAGTGATCAGACCCATCTTGACAGTCTCTCACAGTACCTCAGCTCGTTCCCGGCTCCAGGTTGAGAAGGCTAAAAAAAATTACCCACGGATCTTCCAATCTCAGGTAACGCGCGCAGGTGGAGTCAATTTGGAAACTGTAATGTCATGACACTGGCTTCGCCAGGGCATTCTCAGCATGGGGACCCACATACGCGCAAAGAGACGAATTCATGGACTTACGTAGAGACCCATAGACTTCCACCTGTTGAGTCACAGGTGTGGCGTGACAGTGGTGTCTCCATCAGTGTGTCCTCCACAATGTGGGCACATGCAGGCCATGCAGCGTCCACGTGAAATTGTCTTGTAGGAACCCAGAATTGGTCAATCATCAATGAATCATCCACCAATTAATCGCACGCTGCCTCCACGTGCCAATTATCAATGCACCAATCGGGCATGCCTCATCGCCTGAGATTGGGAAAACATAATTTGAAATGTTTAGCCCCCTCAACCTGGAGATCCATGAGCGGCCACTGTATGGTGCAGTGAGGCGTGTACTCTGTGGGCAACTCAAAAGGTGTAACTTCAAGGTGCCATTTTAATCTCGCAACATTTGCTGATAAGTTTAACGTCGTAACAAAGTCACGCGTCCCTCCGTGAAGTGACATCCTCTGGTGTGGCCAAATGTACACACGGAATCGCGCGCATGATTTGATGCAGTAGTTTGCGAAATGCCGCTCTTTTTTTCCAGAAAGGACCTGGTGAGCCCTTGTGTTACTTACTTATGCCTCTGTGAAACGTAAGGCCCCTGTGTATTTGGATAAATCAGTTCCAGTTTACTTACATTGGGTCAAATGTCCCTCGATTAGTATCAGTCTTTTACAACTGTTTTATTTCGCAGTTTTTCAAGTTGTGTAAACGATCAAACGCATATTTCATGAGAAGTAACGAGACTCCACATTTACCAGATCAGTGCTGTGTTCTACGTTAAACACCATTTGGAGTGAGTCGTTTTCCCTCCTACAAATGGACTCATGGCCCAGGATAATTTCGCAAAACATTGATACTCATGGTAAATATTACATTTATTGCCCACTTTACACATTATACGCCGCTCATAGGTTAGAAGAAATGTATTTCACCCAAGTTACTAGCGTCCAATTGCTTGCAAGTACATTCTTAAAACTGTGGAATGGTCAGTTGATATGTTTTCCAGTGTGGTGGTCTATTTGATCTAAGAGCTAGAGATCCCCAAATCTAGTGTTGCATGGAAATAATTTTACATTGTATTTAATTTAATAAACTGATACAAATGGCAAAGAGCTCCCATTATATAGCTACTCAGCCCGAGTTATAAATCCTCTGATACGTGCATTGCCCTTGTACTGTTCAGCTTTTGGCGTTCTCTGGTCTGAGACTGGTAGTGAGACTAGGCCATAATAAGGCTGTACGTCTCTGGTGTAGGCCAATCAGTTTCAAAGACAATGCATATATTATAATTATCAGATCATGTTTTGTTTGCATGTTCACCACAAATACGTGTGGTTAATGCAGACTT